GCCATGGGTCTGGATCATGAGGACCCCCACCCTGGGGCTCAGGACTCCCGAGTGCAGTCACACATGGCCCTGACTCCAGAGAGGGAAGGCGACTCGGGGAGGACCAGGAAGGCTGGCTTTGTCCTACCGAGACTGGCCCTTCCCAAGCTAAAGGCGTTCAAGGGCCCAGCAGGCCTGAGGCCACCAGGAGACGCAGACGCTGTGCTTTGTAGCAGTACAGCTGCAGGTGACTGTGGAGCCACAGAGAGGGGTGGCAGCGAGGGTGGTGTAGGCAGCACAGGCCTTCCTGGAGGACCCCATGAAGAAGGGGATGTGACCCTCCAGCTGCCACAGACCTCCAGCCCCTGGGTGGGATCTGCCAAACTGGATCTTGGGTCTTTCCCGGCCGAGGAGGGGGCAAGCCAGTGTGATGCTGATCCCAGGTGTGACTCGGCAGTGGGAGGAGGCAGCGAAGGATTTGGGCTCCGGGACATCTCAGCCAGGCAGCCCCAGGGGGAAGGGACAGCCCCCAACATAGAAGGCCCCCTGAAGGCACCCCTAGGACATGCAGACAGAGTTCCCTCCCTGGGTAGCCCCGAGGAGGCCCCCACTGCTGGGGGGCCCATAGCTGGTTCACAGGAGCGCTGGTTCAGAATGCCCAGGCTCCATATGCCTGGCTTCAGGCGGCTGTCATCCAAGGAGCGAGGCGGGGCCCGGGGACAGGATGTGGCTCAGGTGCACATGCCAGTGGCCACTGCACCCGCAGAGGCAGCAGCAGTCGCCAGTGTCCTGGTGTCCTGGGTTCCTGGGTCAGAGGTGGAGGCCAGTGTGTCCCTGAAGCCTCCAGATGTAGAGGCAGCGGTGACAGCTTCTGGGAGCGCATCCCGTGCAGATGTTCTAAAGCGTGATCTGGACTGCTCAGGCTTGAAGCGGCATCCCCCCTCCCTGAGGAGGTCTGGAGGGGACCAGCCCGGCTCCAAGGTCCAGGTCCATCCAGCTGAAGGCTCCTTCCCCCCTCAGAAGCCCAGTGGGGAGCCCTCAGAAGCCCAGGCTCCTGCAGCAGAGCGGCCCGACCTCATGGAGGCAGAAGAGGGAGCAGAGCTGCGGCCCTCTGGGTCAGAAGGACCTGTGCCACTGAGGGTGTCCAGCACTGACATGCCATCCCAGGTCTCCGTGCTGGACACGCGGCGGCTGTGGGAAGACTCTGTGCTCACTGTCACATTCCCCAAGCTCAGAGTGCCCATGTTCTCTTTCCCCGCCCCGGGGGCAGAGATGGACATCTTCTTCCCTGTGGTGAGGGACGTGAGTGAAGCAGAGGCAGGTGTGGACCCAGGGCCGGGGCTCTGGGGTGCCAGCCTCCTGAGGGCAGGTGCCGAGGAGCCCAGGGAGCAGCCTATGGGCCCCAGCCGCCCCTTGGAAGGTTCCCCAGTGTCCAAAGTGAAGGTGCACATCCAGGGAGTGCAGGCTGAGAGTCGTGAGGTCCTGGTCTGCAGCCAGGTGAGGCCAGAGCGAGTGGAGCACATGGCCCCCGAGGCCTTCTCCACACAGACTGTGTGGGCGTCAGAGATCCCCGCATCCACCGTGCAGACACCTTCATACGGATTTTCTCTGCTGAAGCTGAAGACCCTAGGGCCTCCTGCTCAGGCTCCAGACTCCAGGGCACCGGAGGGCTCTGCCGCACCCACAGCAGACTCCCTCCCTGAAGACGGCGCCCCTGATGCCACAGAGCCATTTGAGGTGATAGCGGGCAGCACCAGCCTCCCTGGGCTGCAGACGCTTGGGTCTGACGACCCTGCCAGGCCTCCACTTGCAGGCAGCGGCTCTGATGATGATGATGAGCCTGCAGAAATCCTAGAATTTCTCCCTGAGGACAGCAGTGGGGCTTCAGCACAGCTGGCGGCCGAAGACCAAGTTCCAAAAGGAAGGCCAGAAGGAAAAAAGCCTTCGGGTCTGTTGTGGTCCTGGCTTCCGAACATCGGGTTCTCCTCCATCAGTGAGACCAATGCCGGCTCCAGAGATGATGCCCAAAGATCTGTTCCTGTCCTGACCCAGCCGGGGCCTTGGCCAGACTTGGAACCACCCAAGAGGCAAGAGAGGGTGGGCTGGTTCCGGTTTCCCAAATTAGGCTTCTCCTCCTCGCCTGCTGAGAAGACCAAAAGCACAGAGGAAGAGACAGCCCTGGCCGAGCAGAAGCTCTGGGAAGAAAGTGTGACCTTCTTCGATGCCCGGGAAAGCTTCTCCCCTGAGGAGGAGGAGAGGGGCAGCAAACCAGCCGAGATGGCCCCGGGCACCCCAGACATGGTGGCGTCCTCGGCGAGAACAGAGCTGATCCTGCTGGAGCCTGATGCCCCCGCTGGCGAGGAATCTGGACCCAGGCCCGCGGGCAAATGAAGGCCAGACAGGTGCAACGTCAGGGCAGAGGCTAGAGCAGCATGGAGACCCCATCCCGGCCCCACATGGCACCCCTGATTCACAAAGGTGGACGAAGCAGAACTTGGAGAGAACCTCCACACCTCACACTGCCCAGCTCCCGCCAGGCTGTGGAGGCAGAGAAGACACCAGACTCCTTGAAGAGCAGATCCAGTCGTCCACATGTTGAGGGCATCCTGCTATTCCTCCAGGGTGCTCATCATTGAACCCAGAACCCAGCTGTGTACACCCTCCAGCCAGGCCTGGCTGGCGCTGGCCCAGTGCCCCCTGGTGGCAATAAAGGAAGCAGTGCATCCCAGTGGAAAGGCTGCTGTGCTCTTTGTTCTGGGGCCCAAACTCCCTGTGCTCGCTTCCCCCACACTCCTGGTCCTGGGTGCTGTGGGTCAATCTAGAAGCCAGAGTCCAGGATGCGTCCCAGAGCGGCTGCTCCTTCTCACTGTGCATCACGGGCTGGAGGAGGAAGGCAGGGCAGGCAGGGGACACTGACACGTACCCCTTCCTGGCAGCGGGCAGGTGGTGCTGGGACGGAAGCCTGTATGGGGCAGGGGTGGCAGGGAGCAGGGTGCTTGGCTGGGTCCCCGGCCAGGTCTGGGGCCGTGTTCCACAGCCACCCTGGCCTCGGCGGCCTCCTTCTGCACAGCCTCAGGAAGCGAGTCCACTGGGGCTGCAGGGAGGCTGGGGGTCTGCTTCGCCCCTGCTGCCCGTGGATGCCCTCCAGGCCCACGTCTGGGCTCCTTGTCCTGAGGACAGCTGCTCACCTGTGGCTCCCCAGCTGGCCCCTAGAAGGCCCAGAGGAGTCTGGAGTGTGGCACAGCACCGACTGGGTTTGTCCTCATGCCACTGTGGGCCACCACATCTTTCCCTGAGGCTGGCTGGGCCACCCAAGTCAGGGGATGGGGAAAGTTCTGGAAAGGGAGGGCCCTGGGCTGTTGTACTCCCCTCCAAGGGCCTTTCCCCCTCTGCCCACCATGTGCGGGGGCCACTGGGGCACATGGCAGGCCTCTGTCCTATCTGGGCCTGGAGTCAGGCCAGCCCTTCGGGTAGTATTGGAATGTCAGGGTGCCCTGGGGTTTCGGGGGGCTCAGTTCCCTGTGTGAGTCTTTCATGCTGTGTGCTTGGGAGTCTCCAGTTCTCTGCCACACAGGCCTCTCCTTGGGACAGCCCACACCACCAAGGCCACTAGGGACAGACTGCCAGGAGGCTCAGGTGACATCCTATTCCCTTTGTGTGTTCTGTTGGTGACAGGCAAGGCCCGGGCCTGCCCCCTGCAGGTGAGATGTCAGGTTGGGAGCGTGCCTGCTGCCGGGCACATGGGCTGCAGCCCCAGGAGCTCGGGGCCTTGCAGGACAGGGTAGGGCCCTGACTCCCCAGCTACATCCTCTCTGGGGCCACACGAGCCAGGCAAAGCAGGGTGTGCTTGGCATGTGGGCCGCTGAGGTCCAAGACACTCTTAGGTGGGCAGTGGAAGAGGGCACCAGGATGGCAGAGAGAACGGGTACCTCCCTGGGGGTGAGCTGTGCACTGCTCACCAGAGCAGGACCCAGAACCGCAGAGGGCAGGACCCCGGTGTCCACCACCCAGTGCCCTTCACACCACTGAGCTGGGCTGCAGCAGTGCGGCCTCCAGGCCTGGGCAGAGTCATCAGGCCTGGGAGCCGGAGCAGAGAGCTTCTGCAGGCACCCACAACAGAAGCGGGGCTCAGTTGGTGCCTGTTCAGGGGGGCTGCATCTCACCGCTGAGACATCCCCTTCCTCTTCCAGCTCAAACCCACGACCTCTGCGCCCAGCCCTAGTACTCTTGAGTGGGTGCTTCCACCGAGCCTGCCCAGGCACCAGCCCTTCCTACACGCCTGCCACACCCCCACACTCTGTGCCACCCCTGAAAACTGTCCACAGCCCCAGGCTGTCCAGTCCAAGAGCACCCACAAACTCAGAGCCCCGCCCATGCACACCACGCCTGTGTATCCAGAGCCACCCACAGCCCCGCCCACACCATGGCTCCACCCCCCGAGGCTCGGCCGGCAGCCTGGCCACAGACCCCAGCTCTGCACAGCCTGCCACCCGTGGGGGCTGCATGAGTGGGGCTGGCTCTCACACCTTGTACCCTTCAGGCACACCTGTGGCATCCATCCCTCAGCTCTCACCCCCCGCAGCCCGTGAGCCAGAATTCTGGGGTTGGGCTCCCCACAAGGGGTCGCTAGTGCCACCCACCCACTTGGCCCGGTGTCCTGCAGGCTGGACTGGGCGAGACTCGGTGGGCTCGTGGCTGGCCTTCCTCAGTCCGTGGGACCATGGACAGGGAGTTCCTGTTGTGCTCACACAGAGGACAGACTCTCATGGGCCCAAATTGCAGCTCTGGGGCATCAGAGCTGGGGCATCTGGGGGCTCCCCAAAGAGGGGGTGCCTGGGGCCTGCATCTGGATCACAAAGCTTAAGCAGTCGAGACCCAGGAGGGCCTCAGCGGGAGGCAGCTGAGGAGCCCCAGCTGGACTCCGAGGGAGGGCTGAGCCAAGCCGACCTCGGGAAATAGTGCCTCAGCATGGAGCAGAGGCAAGCGCGTGCATGCATGACAGGACAAGAAAAAGACCACAAGCTGACCCTGACCTGGGCCAGGCCTCAGGCTGTCAGCGTCTCTTATTGGGGCTGCAGCTGGACAGCGGTCACCACGACCCATGAGCTTTGTACCTGGGGACGATGGCCCTTGCGATGGGTCGTGGGGGACCAGTGAGTGCTGGGCCCCTCTCCACACTGTCACCTTCCTCCCAGCAACCCGTGGAGAGTCCCCAGGCCTACTTGGCCACGCGCGATCTGAGTGACCCCAGAAGTCCCGGTCACAACTGCCAGATCTGCATTGCAGTTCTCAGGCCCAAGTAAAGCTGTTTTGCATTTGCAGCTCTGCACCTGAACTGATGCCCCATGGGCAGCAGCGTCCACTGAGGGCTGTGGGCCCAGAGCCAGGAGGCTGGGCCTTAGCCCTGCCAAACACAGTCCTGGCCTGAGGTGCGTCCGTCGAGGCTCACGGCGTAGCGGGAGCTCCAGTCCCGCTCAAAGAGTTGCCGCAGCTGCTCCTGCACGGGGGGTGGCCCTGGCTGGGCTCGGGGGGCCTGCTGGTGGACCACCAGGCCCACCCCCGAGGTACTGCTGAAGTAGTCTGCTGACCAGTTGGAGGTGCCTGGGGAGAGGGGTAGGAAACACTGGGTCCCTGGGCACAGGCCCCTGCAGCCTGGCCCCTACTGCAGCTGCTCCATGGCTTTGGAAACCCTTGAGCAGGCGCAGGAGGGTCAGCTGGCTCTTCACAGCAGAGCTCCGGCCATGTCACAGCGAGATGGGTATCCTGACTCAGCCTTCTGGACCCCCAGGGTCAGGACTTCCCCACCCATGCCCCCGAAGCCTGGAGACAGCTGTGCTAACCCAGGGTCCCCCAAATGCTCCTGGAGACCCTATCCACCTTAGCAGCCCCTGCCCAGCACCCACAGGTCCCCAGCCACTCACCGATGTAGGCTGCCTTCTCCGTGACCATGTACTTGCTGTGGTTCACCCGGCTGAAGGGGATGCTGGAGTGATTCCCCACGGGCACAATGAACACTTTCTTCCGAGGCCGAGTAGGAGGAACACATCAGGCTGGGCTCGGAGCGGGGGGTCCACCTTTCTCCCAGCCCCCCTGAACCCAGTCCTCACCACGTCCACCGAGATGCCAGCCCTGGGGTTGCTGAAGGCCTGCAGTGACCGCAGGTACGGGAACATAGTGGGGTCAGTGTGCAGCCAGCAGCTGACCAGCAGGCGCACGTGCACGCCCTGGCCAAAGGCTGCCGCCCGCACCGCGTTGTCCAGCACCGGCCAGTACCTGGAGGAGCAGGGTGCTGCAGGAGGGAGGGGAGCTTGCCCAGGGCTGCCCATCCTCAGCATAGCCTCCACCAGCAGGGCACACATCCCGCCCAGTCCTACCTGGCAGGGTGGCTGAAGCGGGTGGTGGGGAAGTAGTCCATCACCGAGACGTAGAGGAACTCCCGTGCTCCCCTCATCACCGCCAGGACTGCGTCCAGGTCCTGGGTGCGGCCTCGAGGACAGAGCGCAGGGGGCGAAGCCTGTGGAGGAAGTCATACCCGAAGGCACCCCGCTGGCTCCCACCTGTCCCTGGTGTCCTGGAGCTACCCGAGAGGCCCTGACTGTGTGTGTTCATGGGTTGGGGCTGGTGGGCACTGGCAAGGCCTCCTGGGCGCCAAGCTGGACTGACTGTCCCTGGACTGGCCCTGCCTGGGAGGTTGCCCATTCCCTCCAGAGTGGAGCCCTGTGTGCGGGGTGCCCCATTCTGACAAAGTCTCTGCCATGGGTCAGTCTCGGGCAGCTGAGGCACCGCTCGGAGTGCTGTGACTGGCGCTGCTGGCATCTCCTTCCTCCCAAGGAATGAGGAGTGCTTGGTTTGAGGGCCTCCCCGGCCTCCCCATGGCCCGGCCCGCACTTCAGCAGACTGTCCCAAGACTCTGAACGGACCCTCAACCTTCTGAATGTCTGTCTCCTGCTGCTGGCACCTGCTGGGGCCTCCTGGAGCTGAGCCTGTGCCCCCAAGCAGCCCCAGGCCCACCAGTGCCACCTGCCCCTCTGGGACCACAGCCCCATGGCTCCCTAGGACCAAGCAGCTGCTTCAGGTGGCCAGGGGCAGGCCCTCTGCAGTGCCTCACCGAGAAGTAGGCAGTGGTGAAGAGGCCATTGAAGAAGCCTCGGAGGGGCTGGAAGCGATTGATGTGGGACGAGAAGTTCCGAGGCCAGGTCTTGGGGAGGACGGCGTGGGGCGCCCCCAGAACCCAGTAGGTCTGGAAAGTTTTTTCCAGGTCCTGGGCCAGGCTGCTGCAGTTGTAGATGACGGCACCCAGCTCCTTTACCTGTGGGGACCGGGACCAGGTGGCAGCACTGTCTGTGCGGATCTGTGTGGAGGCTATGCCAGGGTGGGAGAGGGCACAGGGCTCCATGGGCCCCTGTTGATCCCACACATTGAGTTCTAGGGATCACAGCAACACTTCTTTATTACCCGAGCAACAGAAAGTGCATAAAGACAAGCAGAAGGAAAAAAGCTGTTCTCGGCTGTACTGGGACGCCGTGAGCACAGTCACCGTGTTCACATTCTTCAACACTTTTTTTTCTGGTGCCGGGGTTAGAAACCAGGTTGCACATGCTAAGCGCATGCTCCAGCGCTAAGCACACCCCAGGCCTCCGCCAGGTGCTTAGCTCATTGCTTCCCGAAAACAGGCGCAAGCTTTGAAATCTGCGTGTGTCCCTGGTGGTATGATGTGGGCACCTGGCCGTGTCCTTGAGTGTCACTCCACGCCATGACTGCAGGGCTGTGCAGAATCTCATAACCCGGGAACCAGTCTCAGCCTCAGGACGACATGACCCCAGGCTCCTCTGTGACCCCGGCTTTCTCCGAGTGCATAAGGGAAAGGCCTTGGCAGTGGGGCTCCTGGGACTCACCTGTGTCAGGGACCGCCAGTCCATGTTGGCACTGCCCATGTAGACATGCTGCCCATCCACGACCCAAAACTTGGAATGCAGGACACCCCCGATGAGCTGCTGCATGGGCACATGTCGCACCTCGGCACCTGGTGGGGTGAAGGCAGAGTGGGAGTGAGCTCTCGCTCGGGGCAAGCTGTGTGCTGCACTGGATTCTGAGCTCTTGGCCATTGAGCCAACGCAGTTATTTTCAGACCAGCCTGCATGTGGATGCTGTTATGGTCCTCTTCACAGAAGAGGGTGCTGAGGCCTGGGCTGGCCCCTTCAGGAGCTTGTAAGGTCCATGCTGCTGACCCTGTCCACCCTGAGCCTCCCAGACTTGCATGCAAGGCCCTATGGAGAGAGACCCTCTGTGCTGCTTGGCACCCCTCGAGCCCAGCAGAGCCCCTCGAGGGACCCCAAGGACACACACTCTACCCCGGGCACTCTGCTGCCCTTGCCCTGTCTCGTGGTGCCAGCAGGATGGCAGCAGGGCCTGGGTGGCACAGACACCTACCATGGGCTGCCAGCACCTGAAGGTCAGTGGAGTTCCTGGCTGGTGCCGAGCTGCTGGTGGCCACGGCCAGTGAGACATTCCTGGCCAGCAGCTGCTGCATCTTCTGCAGAAGGACCTCGCCCTGCAAGGCAGGTGGCTGTGAGTGGCATCCCCGCCAGGCATCTCTGCCCTAGGGCACTCCTGCCCCTTGCCCTCTGCAGGCCCCTGGCTGCCCACAGCTCAGGTGAGGCCAGGTGTCCAGACAACCCTTGACCAGGCGCTGAACTGTGCCGAAGCAGTCACATGCTCAGAGCCCAGAGGTCTGTGCTCCGACATCCCTGCCCCTGGAGTCCCTGCTGTGCCAGCCCTGCTCCATCCCCAGGAGCTCTGGACTGGCGGCTGAGTGTGCCCTGCCCTGGGCAGGTGGGCAGGGACAGCCTGCAGCCCCAGAGTTGGAGGCTGGAGCCAGGGACGCACCGGCTGGGAGGATGAGTCATTGACCCCGATGTCAGGCCCTGTGAGGGACCAGTAGTAGGAGGCCACATGGATGCTTTCCTGGGCGGTGTTCAGCAGCTGCAGCCAGGCAAGGGCTAGGGACTGGGCTGAGGGGCTGCCAGTGGCATACGGCAAGTCCTGGGGGAGGCTCTCGGTGAGGACAAGTCTGCAAGGCAGAGGGCCAAGAAGGTGCGTGTGAGACCACAGGGCCACCAGCTGACCTCCTCGCCTGCTCCATCCTGCTGCCCAGCACGGGGACTGCCACCATGCAGTCCTGTGGCCTAAGCCCAGACAAGGGCACAAAGAACAGGCAGCTAAACCAGCAGAGAAGGGCAGAACTGAGCCACCCAGCTCTGGAAGTGGTGACCCTGGAAGCTCATCTGCTGCCAGGGGCTCTCCCTCCTGGAGGGAGGGTGGGGTTGTGGGGTGCAGGGCCCCATGGCAGGGCAGAAAGGGTAAGAGGAGTCAGGGGGCGGAAGCTTGGATGGGAGGACTACAGAGGTGCCAAGCTCACCTGGCAGTGGATGGTGCTCACCAGCCTTGGCCAGAACTCAAGCGGCAGCTCTGGTTTGCTACAAATGGCACCCCAAGTCTGTACCACTCCCAGACCCAGCTCCAGCTAGACAGTCCAGCTGCCCCCTGACCTACATCATCCTGTGGGGGTGGGGGGGTGATGCCACCCAGGCTCCCGAGGGTGGATGGCAGACAGCACCCAGCTGAGCCCTGCCCACCCACAGCCCACGCTCACTCACTGGCAGGAGTCCCTCTGCGGTGGGGCCGCCCCACCCAGGGCCTCCCAGGACCTGAGGGGCTCTTCCTTGGGGTTCAGCTGGCAGCAGGCAGGAGGAGGGGACCCTCGCACCAGGAGGTAGGTGGCAGTCATGATGCCCAGCCCCAGCATGGCCAGCAGTCCCAGCACCTGCAGGAGATGATAGTACCAGCAAGGGCCCAGAGGCCTGGCTGCACAGGCTGGGCTTGGGCTGCTGGGGGAGAGGTAAGAAGGATGAAGAGGGGCCCAGCCCTCCGACTGGGGTGACTGGCTGTTCCCAGTCCCCCAGCAGAGGAACACAGGCAAGTCTGCAGTGGGCTGGGTGGGCCTGGGGCCCCTGATCACCACTGCGGGGCTGATTTTGTCTTCTCCACTGCAGCCCGGGGAACTTCAAGCTTATGAAAACGCTGAGTTTGAAAAATCATTGCACTCAGGACTTGGGCTAGAACTTGTTCTGACCGCTGAGTCCACAGACCCCTCTCAGGCCCAGGCCTATCGTGCCGACTCCGCCCAGCAGGCCATGGGGCAAGGTGGAACGACCCCGGGGTGGGGGTGCAGGCGCCACCCACAGCTCCTACCCACAGCGTGGCCCCTCCCCATGGGGTTCCCCTGCAGTGCATCCTGGGTGTGGGCCCAGTCCCAGCTTCATCCCAAACCTCAGCTGGGCAGGGGCCTGCAGGGTTCTGTGGGAAGCACAGCTGACCCCTCAGCCCCCTGTCCCCTGTGGCTGGTGTCAACACAAGGAGTCTCGGTTCCTTTTTCTAACCATGGTCCAAAGCAGTCAGAAAGTACCAATTCTGCTTTTGGTGCTCAGTGGCTTCCCACTGGCTGCAGGCAGCCGCTTCCCTTCCGGCCTGGCCCTGCTCTGGCCTTGTGGCGCTGCTGTCTGGACAGCAAGGCACTGGGAGGACATGGATCCAGACCGGGCACTGCTGCCGGGGCCGGCGGGGATGGGGGCTTGCCTGTCCCCTGAGAAGACCCTCGCCGGGAGCTGGGAGCCAGGCCAGCATGCCCCCGGTGGCCCTGCTGCCAGTGTTTCCACAGAGAAGGGCTCTGGACGTCTCCCATGGTCCTTCCCTTGGAGATGCTGGCTAGGCTTAGCTGGGAACCCCTCTGGAGCAGGGCACTGAGCCTCCTAGGCCCCGAGTTGGCAGCCATGGGACTCTGGGCATCTGAGGTCGTGGCCAGTGGTGCAAATGATGCTCCTGGCCTGCAGGGTGTAGGGCCTGGCTGTCTGTCCCAGGCTGGAGAAGCCAGCCCGGTGGTCAGCTTGCTGGAGACCCAGATGCCCCAGGAGCCCTGGCTGCATGGACTGGGCACAGAAAGGCACTGCAGGGCCAGCTGGGCGCTTTGTGAGCCCTGGAGATGGGTCGTGGAGATAACAGCAACCCCTTCCTATCGGCCCTGGAGGGCTGACACCTACCTCTGGAGGACCTGCCCTGGTGTCCATCCCGGCTCCAGCTGCAGACTGTAGGGCCTCCGCTCTCAGGCAGCACCTGCTGCTTCCCCTTCAGCTTCTTCCTCTTTGCCCTGTGTCCCCACACCCTCTTGAGAGGCCGCTGGAGCCTGGAGGGCGGGGCTGAGCACTGTCCCACCAGAGAGAACCCACCCTCCTCTAGAGGGCACCCCACTGCTATGGCCATCATGTCAGCCTGGCTTCCGGACAGAGACCCCGCCAGAGTGGCCTACCAAGACCACTTATTTCTCTGGTAGGGTTTAGAACCAGATGTCCCCCACATGCCTATGGGCAGAGCTTTGGGGAGGTGACTAGATCATAGGGCTCAGCTGACCAAGTCTAGACATGGCAGTGGCTCCACAGCCATTGGAAGCTGGTCCCTTCAGCTCTTAGCCTCCAATCTCTATGATTCCTAGCTTCATGCCCCTACAGTGGCTGCTGAAGCTCAGCCATTGCTTCCAGGTCCCACAGCCATGATCTAGGTGACCATGATCGAGAACTTGCTCTGCGCTTGGTCACAAGGCCACACCTAGCTACAGGGAGGCTGGGTGGTGGAGGCAGTCAGGACCTTGTGCTGGAGAATGCAGGTGGGGATGCTCACTGGCTGCCTGGAGAGCAACCTGACTGGAGGTGCCCAGCAGAGGCTGCCTTAGCCCTCAGGGGACAGGGGCTTGGGAGCAGCGCCTGCTTCACCCTGGTCACAAGCTGGCCACCAGGCTCTGTCCAGAGTGCTGACCTCAGCATGGCCTCAGGGAGGAACAGCAAGTGCCCCCAGGCGGTGGCATTCCTGAGGCCGTGTCCGTGTCTGGGGGCCAGGGGGTGAGGGGAAGTGAGCTCCACCCTCCACTTCCTCCTGGACACTGCCGACCTGGCTGGCCCCATCCTCCCCTCCAGGCCTTCCGGCTGGTCATAGATACCTAGGTGCTGCCACAGGCTGGGTGCGTGGGGACTTGGGCTGAGAGGCCCCAGTGACCAAGGCAGGAAGGGGCCTGGGCTGCAGTGGTGCGTGGACAGGCTTCTCCCGTGGGGGACAGCTGGCTGCGTGGGGCCAGGCACTCTACCTGCCACCTCCCCACACCTCATCCAGGCCTGTGCACGGGGGCCTCGAATCAACATGGACACAGGCTTGGGGACATTCAAGCAGGAGTTGGGCCCACAGGGGCCGTGGTTCTGCCTGAGGGGGCACAGCTCCTCGGTGCAGGGACCAGAAGTGCAGCGGAGGTCCCCAGGGAGTGCTCCAGCTGCCAGCCCCTGCAGCAGGCCTGACCCTGGGACTGGAGCCCTTGGTGGTCTCGGGAGGGGGTGAGGGACTTGGCGGGGTTTTTGGAAAGGGAAATATTCTTTTCTTCAATTTCCTGTCTACTTATAAAATGTCTCTGTGAGGGGAAATAAAAAACCAAACCAAAACCAAAACCAAAACAGCCATATTACAGAAAACAATAGATTCAATGCAATCCCCATCAAAATACTAATGACATAGATTCTTCACAGAACTAGAAAAAACAATCCTTAAATTCATATGGAAGCACAAAGGAGCCCGAATAGCCAAAGGAGTCCTGAGCAAAAAGCAAGGCTTGTGCAAAGCACACCCAATTTCAAAATATACTACAAAGCCATAGGAACAAAAATAGCATGGTACTAGAATAAAACCAGAAAAGCTGACCAATGGGACAGAACAGAGGACCCAGAAATAAATTCTCATAACTATGGCCATCTGATTCTCATAAACAAAGATGCCATCAACATATGCTGGAGAATACACAGCCTCTTCAACAATGGTTCCAGGAACACTGGATTTTCACGTGTAGAAAATTGCAAGTAGATCCTTATCTTTTGCCTCATAAAAAAATAAACTCAGAATGGATCAAAGACCCCAGTGCAAAACCAGAAACTGAAACTGCTAGAAGAAAGCACAGGGAAAACATTTTGAGGTGTGGACACAGGCACAGTCTTCCTGATCAGGACTCCAGTAGCTCAGGGGAAAAGAGCACAGGCCACTGAATGAGACCACACCAAATTAAAAAGCTTATGCATGCAAAGTAAACAATCAACCGAGTGAAGACAAACCCTATAAAATGGGAAAAAATCCTCACCAACTACTATCCTGAAAAAGGAATAGTATCCAGTATGTAGAACTCAGACCACCAAGAAAAAGCAACCCCTAAAATCAAACAAAAATGTTTTAAACCAATAAAGAGGGAAAGTGAACTGAATAAACACTTTTCAAAATAAGAGTTACAAATGGCCAATAAGTGTATGAAAAAATCTTTAGCCATTACATAGATTCCATCTCACCCTAGTCAGAAAGGCTCTCATCCATAATAGAAAAGACAATAAATACTGGTGAGGATGTGGGAAAAAAGAACTCTCCTGCACTGCTGGTGAGAATGTTAGTCCAGCCATATGGAAATCAGGGTGGAGATCCCTGAAAAGCTAAAAACAGAACTATAATATGAGTCAGCTGTACCACTCCTTGGCAGACACTCAGGATTGGATCAGCTTTCTATGGAGATACCTGCATTCTCACTTTTGTCGTGGCAAACGGAATCAGCCTAGATGCCTGTTAATGGATAAAGTGTGGTTTGTATGGACCATGGGGTATCACTCAACCATAAAGAAGAACAAAGTCATGTCACGTGCCGGCCACTGGATGGAACTGGAGACCGTCACATTAAACAAAACAAGCCAGATACAGAAAGACAGCATTGTACTCTTCCTAATGCATGGAATCTAGACAAAGCAGTACCTGGAAGTAGAAGGGAGACTGCTAGACAAGAGGAGCAGGGAGAAGGGGGTCTCTGGGATATGAGCAAAACACCATGATGAACACAAGTTTGTAAAAAGCCATTGTTTGTGCATGGAAAATATGTGAGCCTAATTCTTTCTGGAGATCAGGTTTGTTTGCCAACAACAAGACTAATCAGAATGATTCATGGGGGCCAGAGATTTAGCTCAGTGGTTTCGTCCCCTGCTGCGCAAGTGCAAGGACCTGAGTTCGATCCCTGGAACCAAAAAAAAAGAGAATGATTCATGTATCTACGCCTTGGCGTGTTTTATTCATTTCTGCACATGGCCCAAGACCCACGTCAGGCTCAGAGCAACTGAGCCGCCATCTCTGTCCACAGGGTCTTGCCTTCACACTCCAAGCTGAGTCCTGCTCCCTGCGACACCCCCAGACCCTGGCACGAGCTCGCCCTGTCACCTACACCCTCCGCTGCCCCACGGCCCCTTTGTGCCAGCTGAGCCCCTCCGCCCCTAGCACCAGCCTGTGCGGGCTCCGACCTCTGCCCTCAGCTTCCCTTCCCACAACCCCGTCCATTCCTGAGGCCCAGCCACACCTTCTTCGCTCCCCGCTGAGCAGCCCAAACTGTGCCTCCTTCCCTCCCATCCCACATAGCCTGGCCGCTGCCCTGACTCCCCTCCACCTCCACAGAGCAGCTCAGTGAGGCGTGCGGGGCCTGGCCTGGCCTCTTCCTGGTGGGCACTCGGCTTGGCTGCCTCCTCTTCCAGCCTGGCCTCAACGCATCCCGGGCGGGGGTGGGGGCAGGCAGAGGCCGCACGTTCTTTCCCCAAGGGCCGGCAGTGGGACTGAAGTTTCCCTTCCCTGGGACGTAACAGGCTGGTGAGTTTGAGCCTGCCAGCCTGCCCACCCACCTCCACACACCCTTCCCGGCGCTTGAGGGGTTGGACGCGTAGGCAGCACAGCTCCCTGCTTCTCCCGTCAGGGAAGCCATGGTTGGGCCAGGAGCCTGGGCAGGCTGAGGCTCGTCAAGGGAGACTCGGGCCCGGTGGGCAGCCAAGGCAGCAGGTGCATCCCAGTCTAGGCCTGTGCCGCCCGCCCCCAAAGCAAGCCAGCCAGCCCAGAACTTGAGCAGGAGAGCGCCCGGCTAAGGGGAAGGCTGTCCTTGGGGCGCTCGGTCTGCAGCCACCTGCACCAGCAGGACTTGCACCTGTGCCTAAGCAGACAGCAACGGCCCCGGGAGGAAGGGCCCTCTGGAGACACAAGGAGAAAGGACTGGGATTGTCAAGGGGCTCCCAGCACCGCACCCGAGGCCTCTCTTGCTGCCTAATTTTATGCACTTCGCATACTTCAAAGAGCGAACTTTGCATACTTGGGCGCTGTGTCCTCGAATGGCTGTAATAAAATAACCATTGCCTCCTCACCTCGGCTGCCACCTGGTGGCTGCTTCTCTGGGCTGCAGCCTCCCCTGGCCAGGCGGAGCCTAACCCCAACCCACGGAGCAAGCGGCAGATGTGGTGTGCTGTCACGTGATACATGATTTATTAGAACAAATTCCATGACAAATCATATAAAATAACCATTTTCTGAGACATCCACAAGACCACCTGAGAACAATGTAGAGACACCGCCAAGAAGCCAGGCAGGGGCGGTCCCCACCCCAGGCCGAGGGCCAGGGGGCAACTGGGCGTGACATGGGGAGGGACACCAACGTGTGCATAAAGGAACCCTACAGTGGTGGCCGGGCAGGCATGGACGAAGGTGAGTGGCCACCGTGTTTCCGGGCCAGGCTGTGGGCAACCGCACGGGGCATGCAGGTGGGCAGCAGCCCAGGTAGCACCTCCTCCAAAGGAACAGCAGGCTCTCGGGGTGGGGCCAGTGGCATCTGCCAGCCACCCCTGCACACACACGTAAACATCGCATGGGCCGAGGCTCAGGGGCCCAGGACACCCACGCCAGGCTCCATGTCACGAACTGTAAACAGGGAGGCCACATCACCCCCGTGGACTCCGGGTCCTGCCTCTGGGCCCTCTTCCAGCCCCTGCCCGTCCAGGTCTGATGCCCGCACCAATGCCGTCTGTGGAGGCGGGCACCCCGGACGCCATAGCCGCAGCTCTGGCTTAGGGCTTCAGGAACAGTGCCCAAGGGGGCGTTGCGGAGGGGCTGGTTCCCAGCTGAAGGAATCCTGAGAAAGCATCACTGCTCCTGGGCCCTGTCCCTGTCCCCCCACCATCCCCTGCAAGAGATCAGGCCACTGCCTGTTGCAGATGCCCATTTAATGCCCATGACATCCGGGAGAACGGGGTGAAGCTGGGGCACACTGTTCCCCTGCACCAGAGCTTCCAGAAACCTGTTTCCAGCCACTTTGGTCAAGCTCCCTCCCTAGAGGGGCTGTTGGTGACTCTACCACCCCACACCTCTGGTGTAGCATGGAGGGGCACCTGGGCATCCCCCAACCTGTGCCCACACTCGGGGGGGCTCAGGGTTGGCAGTTCTGTTGGCACCATAAGCTTGGGGCTGTGGGGTTCCTGCCCCAATGCCCCACAACCATGTGCCTACCTGGCTGCTAGACACTGGGGCGGCTCTGGCCCTGGCACAGCCTCCAGCTCACATTTGGCACTGAGCAGCCCCAGCCCACTTCCTTCCCCTGCCTGGCTTCAGGCCAGCATCCAGGGAGGGGCAGGTCAGCCAGAGCCTCCAGTGAAGCAGGGCACCCTCCCAAGCCGTGGGGCATCGTGGGCAGGGCTGGGCACTGCCACGGCACAGACTGCTCTTTCCTTGAAAGCTAATGATGAAATGACCACATGGAGAGGAGTGGGGGATGTGCCCTCGGCAGTGGCCGCACCAGGAGCTGGGCCAGGAGGCCTCGGTGGGGGTGGGCAAGGTGGGTGGGGTGCTGGCGCCCACGGGGCTATGGCACACGTGGGGGATTCGGAGACACTCTGGCCAAGTGACGGGCCGAGCGGTGGACAGGCAGGCGCAGGAGGCCCGGCCCGGCCCGGGGCCTAGATCAGGAAGCTCTCAGCATCAGGGAGGAAGGCAGGCTCTGCCAGGCTGGGCGGCCCGCAGGTGGCCCTTGGTGGGAATCCCCTCAGGGGCAGCAGGCTCTCAGCCAGGGTAGGCACAGGGGGGCCCTTCCCCAGGCCCTGGGTGGTGGAGCCCGTGGGAGCCCTGTTTCCTGTGAGCAGGTCCAGATTCACGTTGGGGTCCACAATGGCATTGATGACTAGGGGTGGGGAAGGGCGGGTCAGCAGAGGCCTGGCCAGGGGACCCCCTCGGCCCTCGGCCCTCGACCCCCTGCCCCCTGCCCCAGGCGGGCCTCCTCACCTTCCAGCTGCTTCTGCACGCGCCGCAGCTCCTTTAGGATGCAGCTGATCTCCTGGGCGGGCCAGAGCGGGGGTGAGTGGGACCCTGGGCTCTGCGGGTCCGTGGGTCTGGGCCCCAGGCGGGGTGGGGTGGGGTGGGATGGGCCTCACCTTGTTGGACGTCTTCAGGATGGGCACCTCGTTCTCTGCATTGATCCTGGCCTCCAGGTCCTCCCATGAGCGGCCTGTGTTTTGGAAGAGGACCCTGCCGGGGGACAGGGGTGAGGCCCAGCTGTCCCAGCCCTCCTGCCCAGGCCTCCCACAGTCATGGGAAAGCTCCTGCCACCCCACTCCTGGCCCAGAGCAGGACAAGACCCAGCTGGTGGCACCGCAGTCCCCATCTCTGTCCCTGGCCCTGAGGGTAGGGGTGGCTGGGCCAGGGATGTGGTGGGGCCCCTGAGCTCGGGGCCTGCTTGCCAGGAGCTGCACACAAGCATGGCACATGCGAGGCCCACGGGGCTTCGAGCCCTCATGTGCCTTGACCCTGCCCAGTCCTTGCCATGCAAGTCCACTGATGCTGCTGCCAACTCACTTCATCTTCTCAGTGAGGTGCTCTGTGTTCTCCCGGATGGCGTGGGACAGCTGGGACACTGGGTTCAGCATCAGGTTGTCGAAGATCACCTGGAGGAGTCCGGGCATTAGCAGGAAGCCCAGTGGCCTCTCACGCCTTGGACAAAAGCTGAGACGCCCCCACTCCCTGCATGGTGAGCAGCATGCGCGGGCCAGGGGAACATGCCTCCTCGCGGTTCCGAGGCCTTGTCTTGTTGCCCAAGGCATCTTCGTGGCTGTTGTTCATGTTCTGGTCCAGGTCCTGAGAGGTCAGAGTGCCAGGTGGCACCTTCTGGAAGTTTAGGCTGGCCTCTGGGATGCGCTGCACCAGCTGCAGGGGTGGGGCAGGCGGCATTGGCTCTGCTGCCCGGGCAGGCGCCAGCCCCAAAGCCCCTCTGGGGTGCAGGCAGCCACACAGGGACTGGCACGTGGCTGCACACAACTCCCGAGAACACAAGCTCTGGGGTCACATGGGGAGCCGAACCAGACACACTGGCAGTGGCTGGGCCTGAGTGCTAGGTGGGGAAGGAGCACAGGGCCTGGGCCCCTGGAAGCCACATCGGGTTGTGTGAAGCCAGGAGGCCAAGGCTCACCTCCTCACGGGCAGAGATGGTCGAGGCGGGGGTGCTGGGCACGTTCCCAAGGGAGGGGCTACGCGTGGGCCCTGCGGAGCCCAGCGAATCACCGTCTGCGGCCACATCATTGATCTCCCGGGCCAGGATGGCCACGTCCTTCACCAGTGTCTGGCTCAGCCTGCAGCCGCAAAAAAGATGGGGGGTGGTGTGGATGCCACAGGCACCCACCTCTACACGCAGGGAAACTGAGGCAGAAGGTGTGGGCTGAGACCAGGGCAGGTGTAACTTGGAGCTCCCGACTCCAGGGTCAGAGCCAGGCAGGGGTGGGCCAGGCAGGCCCAAGGGGTTCTTGGTGGATCTAAGCCCTGGCCACACTGCAGTGGGCACATGCCTCCCCCAGGTGAGGACCACAGGCATGTCCAGTGGGCAATGGGCAACAGCAAGGCCCAGCCCATCCACCTCAGTTCCCACCAGGCATGGCACTCCTCAGGGAGGCCCTGCTAGAGCCCGCAGTCCGTGTCTTCTGCCCAGCTGCCTCCTGAGCCAGTGTGCAGGGGCAACACGGTCCCTGTGACTGTCCGATGGGGGATGAGCCCACCCTTGGCTTCCCCGGACCCCACCAGCAGCATGTGCTGGTGCTCCCACAGCCTAGCGGGGGTCCACGCAGGACCGGGACCTGACCTAGTGACCTTGTGCCAGGACCCCGCTGTGCCAGCCCTTCACGTGCAAAGGCAGCTCTGGCCTTTGCCCTCCGTGAGCCCTGCCCGGACAGCCTCTCCGTGCTGCCCATGCCACACAGGACTTCTCTCCAACTCTGGTGGTGCCACACTGACATGTGCTTGCCCCAGGCCTGGCCCCACTGGCCCTGTGGTGCTGTGCTTGGGCCCCTCTGTCCGTGGCACACTGCTCTCATCTCCCATGCCCAGCCGGCCAGCACACCCAAGCTCACCCACTCTGAGTAACAGAGACCTTGAGAAACCAACACGGTCCCCTGCCCTCTCCACTTCCTGACCCTGTCGGGGCTTGGGGAGCCTCCCTTCTCCTCTCATCCGGCCACGGGGCCTCTGCTACTGGGCACAGATGGCACTGCCCAACCACATCTTGGGCAGCAGACAGCTCTGTCCCCTCTGCCCTGGCCACCTCACACCCACCATGACCTCACCTCACCACCTTAGTGGCCATCTTTGTGTCAGCAGTGCCTGAGTCCCCATCCCCATTTGGGTGGACCTCTCAAGGGCCACCTGCCTCCAGGAGCCTCCTTCTGGGGGCCTCCAGAACTCACAAGCTCAGCGTCCTCTACAGGACACCTGCTGTCCACAAGCTCAGCAAGGGGCCACTCTAAGCTACCCAGCAACCTGCACCACTCTCCCCAGTGGGTGGCACAGAGGTGGACTCTGTGGAGTCACCACTGGGACAAGGTTCACTCCTAGCAAAAGCCTGGGCAGAGCTCTCATTGTACCAATGTCCCCCAGCTTCCCAGGCAGTTCTCCATTCACCCACCCATCCGCCCAGTGACCTGCTCCTCCATCCATCCATTCATCCATCCATCCACCCATGCAGCAATCCACCTACCAACTAAACCATTCACCCAGTGATCCATTCATCCTTCCATTGATCCACCTACCCACACATCCATCCATCTATCCATCCATCCACCCATCCATCCATCCGTCCATCCATCCACCCATCCACTCGTCCACCTACTTACTGCCTAACCCATCTACCCAATGACCTATCCACCCATCTATCCACCCACCCAACCAGTGACCCATCCAGCCATCTATTCACCCACCCATCCATCTATTCAGCCATCTACCTACCCATCAAACCATCTACCCAGTGACCTGGCCATCCATCAGTCCAGCCACCCATCCATTCAGCTGTCTACCTATCAACTAAACCACCCACCCAGTGACCTGGCCATCCATCAGTCCAGCCACCCATCCATTCAGCTGTCTACCTATCAACTAAACCACCCACCCAGTGACCTGGCCATCCATCAGTCCAGCCACCCATCCATTCAGCTGTCTACCTATCAACTAAACCACCCACCCAGTGACCTGTCCATCCACCTATCCACCCAGTGACCCAACTACCCATCTACCCATCTACCCATCCATCCATCCACCCATCCACCCATCCATCCTACTCAAGGCCATGAGTAGAGCCCTGGCTCAGTCCCTGTCCTCTGCTTGTGCTCAGCTGAGGGGAGCCCTCTGTGGTTGACCCAGAACGGCAGCACTCACCTGGCAATCTCTGCAATCTCAGCTGTCTGCACGATAAAGCCGTAGGGGTCAGGCTCCTCGTCGTCATCGTCTGTGTCCCGGGGGCCGGGGGCCCGGGAACAAGCCCGGCTTGCACTGCCAGCCCTTGGGGTCTGCGTGGCTGTTGAGGTATGGGAGCGTGCATGTTTGGGAGAGCCATGGTGGGAGCCGTATTCCTCCTCGGAGGTGGATGTGTAATCCGAGCCCTGCTGCCGACGACGCGTGTCTTCGGGGAGTGGATTGGTTTCAGAAGCAAGAACAGAATAGAGCAGCACTCAGCACCCCACGGCATCTCAGGGTCCTCTGGTGAGGGCCCTATGCTGTGGACAGGCCGTGCTATGGCTGGCGTCCCACACCTGGAAGCCCTTCAGCAGAAGCACCAGCAGCCACTGAGCTCAGGAAACACAAAGCCACTCCAGCCCAGGGGTCATGCAGGGCCAGTGCAGCGTCCCTGGGGTGCATCTGTTCTGGTGAGATGGGACTACCCCTGGGTGCCAGTGGAGGCTCCCGGACAGACACTGAAGATGAGATGAGCCTTCCTGGAGCATCAGCTGTGGCTCAGCCGGTGGCGCCGGTGAGCAAGGACAGCCGGGCCTCACGGCCTTCATCAAACCCCTCCTCAGGGACAGCCCCCCAGGCAGGGCCCTGGTCTGAGCCTCAAAACAGCTTCAAAAAGCAGACAGGAAGTGGACAAGGAGGGTCTGCATGCTGTGTGGGGTAGGTGGGGAAGGGACAGCAGAGTCCGCCAGACAGAGGTCCTTAGCCCGCAGCCATAAGGCCCCCTACCCTATCCCCAGCTGCACAGGGGACCCAGCAGGCAAGGAGGGCTGTGGATGGTGCTGGAGGTAGACAGGCCGGGCGGCACGGGCTGGGCTACAGCACCTGGGCCTCAACCAATCCACTCAGGCAGGGCACACGTGGCCCTCTTGGTAGGGCATGGGGCAGTGGGGCTGCGAGGCCCTCCCTCCCTAATGTGCACATGGGCCTGGGGAGCAGGGTGGGGCTCTGTGGGCTCAGAAGCTGTCAGAGGGCCCTACCAGATGGGCACTTCTGTCTTCAACAAGGCAGAGCCAGGGAGAGCAGTTCCAGGACCCAGGGCAGGCGGCCCGGGGGTGGTCAGGGGACCCACCCTGAAGTACAGAGGGCAGGCCCATCCCCAAGGCCCAGGCTCCTTGGCTCAAGGCTAAGAGGCAGGAGGCCCTCCCTCCTGGGAGGCTCAACGTCTTCTGCCCACACGGGATTGCAGATGTATCCGGCCCCACACACGCATGTGCAAGTCTGCAACGTGTCCACCCTACAGGAAGCCACTTGGATCCGTGGGGGCCGCCCTGGCCCCTGGCCCCGGCCCCCCCCACCTGCCAGCCCTCCCGCCTGCCCCACACTCACTGGAGGAGTATCTGGCACTGCCTGGGCGCGCCCTGCTGAAGGGCTGGCGGGAGCCTGTGCTGGTCGCAGTGGCGGCAGCCTTCCTGGCAGCAGCATGGGCATCAGCCACAGTGGGCTTGCGGTTAGCACAGTACAGCTCGACACTGCGGCCTGAGAAGCCCGTGCGGGCAGGGGCTGCCTCGGAGTCGCTGGGCCCCGTGAAGGAGCCGGCCCGCTTCCGGGGCATGGCCAGGATGTCCAAGCGGGATAGCTTCTTGGCCTGCTCAGCAGCCGGCCGGCCCACTGGCTCAGGGTGGGCTGGGGCTCCCCGGTCACTGTCTGTGACCTCAGTGTCGGAGGTGTCCCCAAGCCGGGCCCGCCTGAGCCGGGAGGCCCGTGTGGGTCTCGGGGTGGACAGGCTGTTAGAGCGGGTCAGTGCCTGCTGCACCTTTTGGACACTGGTGGAACCGTGGCTCTGCTCCTCTCGGGCAGCCAGGGATGGCGAGGGGGGCACTGGTTTCCGGCGAGTCCCTGGACGACCTGCCCCAGTGGCCTCTGGGGTCTCGTGGTTGGGGGTGACTATGTCTGTGTTGGGCAGGTGGGTGAGGTTGGAGCCTCGTTCCTCGGCCCAGTCCAGGGACCCTCGGGGTCTGTGGCCACGCCGGGCAGCCAGGTGCCGCCCTGGCTCTCCTCGGCCCTGGTCAGCGGGGCTGGTCAGGAGGTGCTGCTTCTCTGAGAGCCGCTCACGTGAGCTACCCAGGGCGGCACTCCCTGGGTCCTGGGCCACCGACGGGGGTGGCAGCCTCTCCTTCTGTGGCCCTGCAGGCTGAGGGGTCGTTGGGCTGGGGCCATTCTTGCCGCTGAGTAGGCTGACGGTGCTGGCTGTGTCCACGTCTGAGTCCCCGGAGAGGGAGTCGTCCGGCGGCCTGGGGGTCCTGCCCCCCTCACCCTCCTCGTCTGCAGTCTTGGAGAGCAGCCGAGCCTCCAGGGCCGCCAGGGCCGTCTCCGTCTCTTTGAGGATCAGGTGTGTATCCTGTGTGTGGAGATCCATACGTGCGGCCCTGACGGCAGTCAGGTCCTGCAGGAGCGGGTGGCTGGAGATGTGTGGCAGCTTGTTGGGAGCTGCAGAGCTGCTCGCAGGCTCCTTGGTGAAGCTCTCCTGCCGCACAAAGCCCAGAGCCTCCCGGGGTGGGACAAGGCTGGAGCTGCTGGGCCCGGTGTGCATCTGCATGACCATCTGCTCACTGCTACTCATGCAGAGGCCACCCCTTGCTGGGGGGCTGGCCTGGGGCACTCGTCCTGGGCCCTCCACCTCCCCAGGAGCCGCCATGGGTTTCCGGAGGCCCTCGCTCTCATTGCCAATGAAGAAAGAGACAGGGGCAGGCTCCCTGGGGCCCCTTGGTGAGCACCGCCCCTTGGGCCAGGCTGGCCCCTCCTGAGGGCTCCTGCGCCTGACTTCCTGCTGCTCCACGCTCAGCTCAGGGCCCCGGCCACCATCTGACCCACTGGCGTCACTGAGGCTGTCGGGGTCCAGATCCTCCTGGCCAACCTGGTGGCTGGCCTGCTCGATGCCTGGCTCTGGCGGCCCAGGCCCACTCCTCCTGGTGACCTCTAGGCCTGCAGGGCTATCAGCCCTGTCACTGGGCAGCTGGGGAAGCAGTCGTCTGGTGCGCACAGGCAGGGGCCCCTCAGGCTCCCCAGCTCTGTGTCTCAGGCCGTCCTCTGCAAAGTGCAAGGGTGTCCAGTCCGAGTGGCCACAGTCCACCCGCATGGCCAGCCCTGCCCCTCCACCAGGCAGGGCAATGTACAAGCTATGTCTGTGGTCAGTGGCCTGAGGCTGCCTGGCCTGTCCCCAGTCCCTCCAGCAACCCTGGGTCACATACCTGACAGGCCAGGATCTGAATAGCTGTCAGCAAGGCTGGCCCAGCGGGACACCCATTTCTGACCTCCAGGGCAGCCCGGAACCATGAGGCCCTGCAGAGAAGACCAGAGTGTCTATAGCAAGGGTGGCACAAGACAGGAGGGAGGCCAGGGATGGCCGGGTGATCCCTCACACCAGTGCCCAGCTTGCCTGTCAGGTGAGGCAACCCTTGGGGAAAGATCTGGCCCATCCCCACCAGGGCCGCCAGCCTCAAGTCCCAGCCTGGACACTGCTCTGGTCCTACTGCCCCTCTCAAAAGTAGCCACATGGGCTCATACCTGGTGCTCCGCTGAGGGGCCCACACCCAGTGGGCGGGAGGCAAACTCCTGCAGCAAGGCCATTCTCTGGGCCACGCCTCCATCATTGGACTCATCCCTGTCCCCTCTGATCACAGGGCGGAAGGTGGCCGAGGACACCCTGGAGAGTTCAGGGGACTCAAGTACCCCAAACACCTGCCAGGTGGAGACAGCACCGAGGGTCAGAGGGCTCTGGCTCCCAGCCCCACTCTGACACGGACAGCATACAACCTGGCGGTCCAGCTAGTGGGGCTCAGGCCACCCCAATAAGGTGAGACGCGGGGGCGGTGGGCAGCACCACTCTGCGTGGAGGCACCAGCGGCACTCGCTTGCCCAGCTGGACTAGACTCAGGAGCCAGGTGGGTGCAGAATGCCAACGTCTGGGCCCTCATGAGCCGAGTCCCGCCCACCCCACGTCCCCTGCTGCACCTGGTCGATCATCTGGCGCGCCTCTTCCACCTCCCTGTCCTGTGCCTCTGTCTCGATGGTATAGGTGCCTGCATCACTGAGGCTGTCGTCCTCATCCTGTCTGTGTCCCTTGGTCAGCTGGGGCTCGGAAGGAGGCAGTGGTGGGGTCGGGGAGGCCCCGGGGCTGGCCCCACAGCGCGTTGGGGGTGCGGGTGGGTCCAGGGGCACCTTCTCAGGGCTGGGCCTGGCGGCTGGGGAGCTCTCCCTCATGCACTGGGCCATGAAGTCCTGAGCCAGGCGGGAGCGGCGTCCCACGCTGCCAAAGGGACGGGCGAGGGCCCGGGGGGCTGGCGAGGCGCTGCTCAACCGCTCCTCGGTCTTCTCTCGCTTCAGGGAGCTGGCCCTCTGTGACCCTGAGCTGCTGCCTGCCACCCCCCGTGCAGGGGCACCTGGGCGCTCCCGATCAGTGGGCCCCGGGCCCCGGCGCTTGTCGGCTTTGGGGTCCCCAGGCGGGGTGTGCGTGAAGGACTGCGAGCGCTTCTTGCGGGGCGTGTCCTCATCAAAGAACTGGATGACAAAGGCCTGCTGGTTGTGCAGCAGCTCCTGGGGGTCCCGCTTGATCTGCCTCTGCAGCCGCACCTGCTCCCCACTGGCCTCCACGGGGGCCCCGGCCACGGAGGCTGCCTTGGCCGGGGGGTCCTCTGAGTCACTCTGCGTGCCATCTTCATGCTTGTGACCTGGGGGGGGCCTCACATGGGTAAGGGGGCGTGGCTGACTCAGGACAGAGCCCAGACGCTGCCCTGTGGACAGGCGGCTTAGGCAGTGAACCGGAAAGCGGAGCGTACCAGGCGAGGTGCCTGCCCACTGGCCCTGTGTGGGGAGGACTGACCTCTCAGGGTGCGGGTGTGGACGGGCAGGTCACTCTTGGCACCGTGGCGGTCATCGCCTGGGCCAGCCCGCCGCAGCAAGCTCGGGTCGTTCTGCACCAGCCAGTCGGCCACCTTGCTCTCCGCGGAGACCATCTCCACAGGCGTGGCCTCCTTGCAGGGCTGACGCCGCTGGCGCAGGGCGAACTTGGTGATGTGGTCCTTGATCTTCACCTTGCCAGGGCTGCAGTCGTCAAACTCGATGGTGAAGGAGGCGTGGCTCTGCACCACAGGCCCTGCCCCGCCGCTGCCCGCCTCCTCGTCCTTGGTGGGCGGCTCATGCTCCAGCACCTCCGGGGGCTGGGATGGTGGTGGTCGGGCCTCTTTTGTGGGGATCTCGAAGTAGCTGGGCTCCCGGCGGAAGGAGTAGCCCTGAGGCTCGACAGGGCCGCGAAAGCCGGCTGGTGGGCCATCCAACTCGCTGTCCCGCTGCCCTGACTCCTTGGCACGCTCTGGGGTGTTCCAGACCAAGCCTCAGGGTGGCCACCCCACCTCCCTCTTTGCCCACCCTGGCGCAGGCACCTCCAGGCCCGGCCGTCCCCCTCACTCACACCCCCGGACTCAGGAGCTGCACGGCTGGGTGCCACACCCACCTGGGTAGGGCTCCTCCTGGCGCTGGTCCTCGGGGGCTGTGCCACTGTCGTCCTCTCCCCACCAGGACGGCTGCCCGTACAGAGGTGTGCGGTACACTACTGACTCTGTGGGGAGGCAGAACTCAGCCCCCGGCGTCCCCTCCCAGCCCAGCCCTGCAGCCGGTTTCCTGCCTGGGTCTCTACAGTGCCCACTAAAGGGAGGCTTGTCCCTGGGGGACACAGCCCCGGCAGCACGCCCTTGGACCTGCCCCCACGCCCAGTGCTGGCCCCACAGGGGACAGGGTGCCGGAGCCCTCTGCCTTCCCAGCCTCCCTCCAGGGCTCTAGAAATGGTCCGGGCCACAGATGGGTGGTCCTGGGGACCGAGGGCCACCTTGGTCAGAGTGGCCCATGTGACATTTTTGTGTGTTTGAATACTGGTCAGAAGTGAAAATTATGTGCTCATTTCGGCAGCACATATACTAAAAAAGAAGTGAAAATTATACTTCCCGAAAACCTGGTTTTCCAGCTCTGATTTGGGCAGGAGCAGCGTTAGGTGTCCCACGTCAGCCCCCCTAAGGTTCCCCCAGCTCTTCATCCCTGCCAGAGCCACGTGGCCATCTGAGTCACAGGACCTGCAGCTCTTAACTGCCCATGTGCCGGGCACCAAGAGGTCTGAGCCTGGTCACTGGCTGGGCACCACATGCCCAGGGTGGATGACTTCCCTGCATGTGTCGTGGGGTGGGGGCCCTTTCCTGACCCAGTACTGCACTCCAGCTGCCGAAGCAGGGCAGCTCATCGTGGGCAGTGCCCCTCTCCTGCCTGCTGCCTCAGCTGCTGGGCCAGGGAACTGGCTGCACTGCTGGTGCACCTGCTGTAACCCCAGGGGGCTCCAAGTCACCACCAGCAGCACATGTGCTCATGACCCGGACACCACTCAGTGTTCTGGGCAGCTCGCATGCCTTCCTGGAAACCTTCCCATTCTCAGCCGGGGCAGGTTCCTGCAGGTGGAGGCTTTGCCACTCTGGGCACCAGGTCCAGCGGCCCCACAAGGGCTGGCTACGGGAAAGCAGAGGCTGCACTGGGCAGCAGCTGGGCTTTCCTGGCGAGGGTGGAGTGGGGAGCCCTGGACCCACCCCTGTCTAGCCCAAACCCCCTGCCACTCACCACATCCTCCACTGCGCCCAGGCACCAACCAGGTTTCATGGCACCAGCCCCAACCCAGCCCACTCTGAGCCTGCAGAATCAGGCCCGATGCCTGACCCAGGCAGCTGGCACCCCTGCCCTACCTACCTCTGGCCAGTGGAGACAGCCAGGTGCAGGCGCACCACAGACTGGGAAGCAAGTGAGGGCCCACATGTGGGGGTTGGGCCCAGGAGGGGTACAGACTGGGGTGAGGGCTCATGTGGGGAGGGAGGGATACATCTGGGGGCATGGGGTACAGTCCCCTGTGGAGGGGACGTGGGTGGGGGCCAGCAGGCCTAAGGGAGGTCCTGTGCACTTACCCTCGCAGGTCTATCCTGTCCCCTCCCCAGCCTACCTGTTCCCGGTCGCCGGTCCCCCTTCTCCAGACGGGGGTGCAAGGTCTCACAGTAGGCTGTGAATTCGGGTGGCGCCTCACTCTTCCTGGGTGCTGGGTTCTTGACACCCACCTGCAGCTGGCTGGTGTACTTCTCGTGCTGCAGGTAAGTGAGGGACAGGATCAGCTCAGGGACACCACCCAGGGCAGACCTTGCCTCTCCTCTACCTGCTGGGAGGTCTCCCCACACCCCAGAAAATAGAGTCTTATGCAGAGTCTGAGCCCTGCCCAGGCAGCCACTTGGGTCCACGTCTAAGCATGGGGTCCTTGGGGCCCAGAGCTCCCAGGGTGGTGCTGGGGCTTGCTCGGTGTGGAGGGTGGAACAAGGGGGGCTTCCCAGGGACTGCCACCACCGGGCTCCACCTGGAACAACCCCAGGGGATAGAGATGGGGAGCAGAGCCATGCCTACACGTGTGCACGCATAGATGTGTGCCTGCGTGTGCATGTGTGCCAAGGGCATGTTTAAAGTACGTTCACATCGGTCATGCTCTCCTGGCTGTGTGACCTTGTCCTGCCCATGTTCATCAAAAATGGGCCAGGGACGCCTGCCAGACACACACTCCTGGGTCTCTGAGTGGGGTCCCATGTGCCTATGCGCCCCTCCCATGAGGAGCCCTCCGTGGCTCCCCTGTGACCTCACAGCCTGGCTGGGGGCTCTGGCTACATGCGACTCTGGCACACTGAAGGGCATGGTGCTGGAAGGCACTTTTGTACCTCAGGGTGCTCCCCATACCCAAGAGGCTGGGCAGACCCAGTGGTCCTGGGGCCCAGCTCCTCACCCTCTTGCCCCAGCGGTAACTGTCCTCAGTGGGGCTTCTGCCTCCTACGGGGCTCCCTGATGGCAGCTCAGCCCGATGAACCACAGACCCTGCACCCTGGGCACAGGGGCAAGCCCTGGAAGCGGCTCAGAAAGCCCCTGACCTCTAGCAGGCTGGACGCTTGGGCCACTCCTGCTGGCCCCACCATCTGCCCAGCACAAGCCTGGAGGGCAATGACTATCTCCTTATCCGCCAGACTGGGCCAGATGGCAGGGCAGGACAGGCTGCCTAGCTCCTGGCACCAGCAGCCAGAACAGGGTGCTCCAGGGACCAGGGGGTCTGCTGAAGGAGCAGAGCTTCCAGGTGCAGGTGGAGACCCAGGGTGGGGCCTGGAGCAGGTGGCCCAGGGTAGGGACACACCGGCTGCTTTTGGGCCTGCCCTCCTCCCCCGGCACCCACCTTGAGCGCCTCCTCAGGCACACGGTGCTGTACCCGCTCCAGCACATACATGTTGGAATGTGGCACCGTTAAGGAGAACACGGAGCAGGCAGAGCAGAAGACCCGGGCCCAGTGCCCCAGGTAGCCGCTTGAGTCCCATGCAGGCGGCGGGGCTCCTGCCCTGGGGGTCAGCGAGGACCCATGCTCAGACTGGTGTTCCACCCGGCAGCCTCAAGGTCAGCCGTGATGAGGTCCCAAGTCTCCCCAGGCCCCTGGAAACCTTGGGCTTGGCGGGTGGATGGTGGGGGTGTGCCCAACCCCAAGTGGAGGGTGGCCAGCTGCAGGTTCACCCTGTGTGTTCCGACCTGAGCCTGAGGGCCAGGCTGTGGCCCTCCAGACCCCCAGCCTCTTGCAGGGCAGCTGGCCGAGCGCCATGCGGAAGGATATCGTAGCCAAAGCGGATGACATCATTGAGCTTCAGCGTGATGTACTTCTGGTCTGGGATTCGCACATCATTCACAAAGGTCTGTGGAGGAATAGGCGGGCACACAGCTGAGTGGTGAGGACAGCATGGGACAGTGCCCAGGCTCTGCAGAGGCCTTCTGCAACCTGTGTCCCCCGTAGAGCTCAGGGTCCCACAAGCAGGCCCTGACTCTATGTGGCCACTGCAGACTTCTCGAGTGCCGGACCTGCACAGGCCAGTGAGCAGCCCAGGGCCTGCTGAAGGCGGTGTGGGCAGCAGAGGGGAGCCTGCACCCATGCAGCCCAGGCAAGCAGGGCTGCTGCAGCTGATGGGCAGGTAAGGAAGGAGGGGCCTGCGGCCACCTGGGTGGGAGCCCCTTGAGGGGCATTGAGAGCAGTGCCAGGGCTTGCTGGAGGCTCACACAGCAGAGGCAGGGCCCCCAAGACTTCAGAGGAACCCCCAGCTCAGGACCTTGAGGGCAACGAACCAATGGAACCAGATGGTTTGCTTTCTCACTGAAACAGCATCCCAGCTAACCTGTGCATCACACGGGAAGAGGTACAGACAGGTTCCTCCAGGACAGACAGACATATGTGCTGGAGAGGGCCCTCCCTCCCCACACGGACCCTCCCCCCCAGGACTCACGGAAGAGGCCACACAGCTCCCCGTACTCAGTCAGGGCACCCTGCACGGTTCCTTCCACCTCGGAAGGCCATTTCCTGCGTCGGAGGGGGCCACTCCCAGGGCCAGGATCCCCCACCCCTCCCTGCGGAGCAGGCCCTGGTGGGTCAGGGGCCCAGGGCAGCAGCTGAGGGGCAGGCCACAGCCGGGGGAGGCCGGAGCAGAGCCACAGCACTCACTCCGTTGAGACTGCCCAGGTCCTTCACCCAGTGCTCATCTCGGTCCTGGTCGTAGTTGATGACGGCATGCTGTTTATCCACGCTGCGGGACTACAGAGATACACAGGGCCCTCAGGTGCCCCATCCTGGGTAGGCGAGTCCAGGAGGCAGAGCCACCTGTGCTCCCCACAGGCCATCCTACCATCCAACACCAGCCCCTGAGCCACAGCCCTACCCCACCCACACATGGAGCCTGTGCTCATTAAAGCCACTCAACCCTGGTGCAGGCCACAGGGACTGGGCAAGACACCAAGGTGACTTCCTCTGGCTCTGTGGCCACCCTGGCATCTCCTCCATGACCTCCCTGCTTCTGTTGCAGTGTCCTCTCTGGGTGGGCCGTGGGAGGTTGGGAACCCGCTGTTCATCCACACAGCCCGTTCCTTCCCAAGGGCACTGGGGGTGGCCAGCTCAGGCTCCGGCAGGCCCAGAGATGAGGGGCGAGGCGCACAGCCCCAGGGTCAAGGGAGAGTGTGCGTGCTGAGGCTTCCTGGCCTCCTGCCACCTGGCTCCCACAGTCCCATGCCCTGGCAAGACCTGCCCTCACCTGCCTCCTTTTTCTTTTTGGTACTGGGGATCGAACTCGGGTCCTTGTGCTTGCAAGGCAGGCAGCAGAGGCACTGAGCTAAATCCCCGGCCCTCCTGCCTCTTCTTGTACACATGCGTGCACACACACACACCTCAGCATGCACTCAGTCCTCCACTCTGAGTGGGACTCACCTTCCCTGGGCACCAGCCTACCCAAGACCCTCCCTAGGACAGTCACTCCAGCTCCCTCACGTGGTCACCTCAGCTGTCCAGCTGCAGCACCCCACTTCCCACCCAGATGGAGGCAGGGACAGGGTCACATTCTCCCTGCTCAGGGGCTGTAGCAGGGCCCCATGTCACCCAGTCCACAAGGCCTGTGGTCTCAGTCTCAGCACAGAGCTCCACTGCCTGCCTCCACCCTATGCCACCTATTACCTGGTACCTGTCATTAATCCTTCCACCTGAGAGCCATAGGCACAACCAGAGCCAAAGCTGGGCAGCTTTGAGGTGCCAGAGCTTCCCCCAGGACTGACTGCAGGAGGGCACTGGCAGTCCCTGGGGGAGTCTGGGGGCTCGGGGCTCACCCCCATCCCAGGACATTGAAGTGCCCCTCTGGGCAGACCGGACTCAGAGTGCAGCCTGGAAGCTGGGGGGACCAGGGGTCCTGGATAGGGCTGGGGACTGCACACAGGCTGGTCCCCCACCTCAGCCCTGTCAGACACAGGCTGCATGGGGCATTGGGGATCTGCTCCCTCAGAAAGCCAGCCTGGAGGGCTGAGGGCTGGACTCAGGCATCAGACCTTCCTGGGGAGTGAGGACCTAGAGCGGAGTGCAAAGGGGTCACCAGGTTCTCCTGCTCCCCCCTAAAGTTGCCCAGGAGGTCCCAGCAGCTCCTGGCCCAAGGTGGACAGAGACAGGTGGCTTGCCTATCATCTTTGCTGAGAAATGACCCTGGCGGAATGTTACACGGCTGTGTCTAGATGTCTCTTCAAAGCCTCATGCAGTGATAGGTGGGACTTTTTTAGAGGTGGCTGGATCGACACTTGATCTTAGCCAAAAGGCCAAGAAGCAGCCAGGTGTGGTGGCGCATGCCTGTAATCCCAGCACTCGGGAGGCTGAGGCAGGAGGATCGCTGTAAGTCTGAGGCCAGCCTGAGCTATAAAGGGAGACCCTGCCTCAAAAACAACAACAAAAAACAAACAAACAAACAGGCCAAGAATCAATTAGAGGTGGCTGGATCTAGGGTGTGTGAGACTAGGATTGATTCATGGTGCAGTGCTAGGATCAAGGGCACTAGGATTAAGGGTGTAAGTGCTGCCCATCCTAAGTAGCCTGGGTAGGACATAGGGGACAGAAAGAGCTATGGTTGTCCCTTGTTCCCCTGCTACCTTCTGCCCTCATGAACTATTTCCCCTCTACAGTGCCTGTCTGCCATGCCACCCTGCCTTGCAGCCAGCTGATTATGCGCTGAAACCTCTATACACTAAAAGCTGAATAAACCTTTCCCCCTTTAACTTTGGATGTTGGGTATTTTGTGTAGCAGGGAGAGAAAAGTAACTAAGACGTGGGCCTTCCGAGTGACCTTTCCAGCCTGGACATGCCTCCGATCATTCTGATGTCATCAGACTCCTGCTGATACTTCCTGGGCTCTCCCTGGCCTGGGAGGAACGGCCCAAAAGTGACAGGGCCCTCTCCAGACCTCCCTCTCCCTCCTAGGCCACAACCGGTCTCTGTCCACACCACACTCTCAATGGCCCAGGTCTCAGCCCACATAACACCCTCTGCCAGGACTGCCACTCTTCCTGGGCCCACTTTCATTCTCCCAGAAGATGCCCCACATCGCCTCAGATTCTGAGTCCATGACCAATCACAGTCCCAACTGGCCCATGCACACCTAGGCTACGATGCATTTCCCCCCCCCGCCCCCGCCCCTGCCGGGGCCGAACGTCCAGGGCAGCCAGGGTTTTGCCCCAGACACACTTCTGCCAGGACCCTTCTGGGTCACAGGAGTGCTAGGGTCTCAGGTCCCCCTTCCAGCAGCCTCCCTCCCAGCTCGGACAGCTCAGCCAGAAGCAGAGCCTCAACCGGCCAAGGCACATGCTCAGGGCTAGATGCCAGCCCACCCAGAAGGGGGTCCCTGGCCCAGGGCTCACTAGGGCCTGTGGAGAGGAGCTCCCTGGTGCAGATGAAGCAGGGCAGATGCTCCAAACGCAAGGACGGGAGGAGGCAGGCTTGGACCCACTTCAAAACAAAATAAGATGTGTTTTCGTGTTCAAGTCTGAAGCCCTCTATGGTGGAGAGCCCTGTCCTGCTGTGCCGAGCCTGGCAGGGCTGCAAGCCTGGGCTCCTGGCACGTCCTCCTGCCAGCTCAACCCCAGTGTTGCATGAGGGAGGCCACAGGCACTGGAACGGGCTGCTGGAGCGCTGTGTTGCAGGTGTGCAGGGCCGAGGCTGCTCCCAGTCAGGGTCCCGGCTGTCAAGTGCCACAGGCCAGAGCAGGTGGGGCAGCTTCTGGAGCTCCTGCACTTGGTGATCCGGCAGGGACTGCAAGAGCGTCTGGGGGCAAGGCCTGGGCCACAGTAGGACGGCCGGGTGCGCAGGCCCATGTGCACACACAGGCCCATACAGACACACATGCACACGTGTGTGCACATGCCCGCATCACACAGCATGTCCTCACTAGCACTGGCTCCGGCCAGGCCTGCCCTGGGACTGGACATTACCACAAGCAAACCGGAAGCCTGTTGTGCAAGGTGGGTGAGGAGGGGGCGTGGCCACCGCTAACCCTGCTCAACTCTTAAGAGCCCAAGGCCTGGCCTCAGGCTGCTCCGCCTCCTTCCTGCCCTAGGGCTCTGTCCTCCCACAGCTGCCCTTTCCTGCTAGCCCTGCTCCCCTCTCGCAGTGCTGTTTGGTGGCCCTGGACCCTGGCCTCCCAGTGCCACCTTCTTTGCATTTTTCCCCATGCAGATGGGGAGGTGGGCAGCAGGGGAGGTCAGGGGTTGGAGGCCACAGGAGTATGTGCTGGCCCAGAGCGGGTGCAGGATATGTGGACAGATGGAGGTGACAACCAGGTCCCCGGGAGGAGCCCCGAGGTAGGCCAGGCGCTGCCAGGTGGGCAGAGAGAACGGCTGGGGGTGTGGTGGGAGAGGGGGAGTCCAGGATGGGAAGGCAGATGGAGACCGAGGCAGCAGAGAGCTAGGAGGGGAACGGGCTGGGCCTACCCTCTGAGTTGGGCATGGAAGCAGCACTCAGGGAGCCCAGGTGTTGGGTGAGGGGCAGGACGGTGTGTGGCTGAGCCCGGGCCGGCCGGGACACAGCTGGAGGGAACAGGGTGATCCCTAGCCTCAGGCGCCTTTGAGAGGCCCGGGGGCGGCTGTGCAGCCAAGGTCAAAGCTGGGGACGGATGGGCACAGGACAATACAATACGTACCTCGTCTGGCCACTGAACAGAAGCCAAGAGGCTGGAGGGGCCTGGAGTGGAGGTCCCAGGAAGGAGATATGGGAAGGGGGCAACACGTGTGAAGGTCCTGAGGGCTCAGAGGGTGGCACCAACGGAGGGCACCTGGGAGGCCCAGAGCCAGCCAGGACGGGGTGAGGAGGCTGGGGGCAGGGACCTGGGGCCAAGTGTGGCGTGGCAGTGAGGACTTCCCGGCAGAGCTGGCCCACAGGGGAGAGGGGTGAAGTAGGCCAGGAGGCCATACGGTGGTGGTAGACTGATGACAGGAGTGCCAGGGGAGAGTGCACAGCCTTTCTGTGCTCTGTCCACGCATGGGCTCCCCAGCCTCAGTTTCCCCGTGTAAGATGGAGACACTTTACACAGCCACGCCACCACCTGGGAGCAGAAGCCAGGGGTACCTAGGGCAGGAGCTGCCTGGCACAGAGACCTAGAAGCTTCCACTGCTCCTACCCTGCTTGGGGCTGCACCACCAACCAGCCTAGAGACCAGGATCAGGCCCCAGACCCATGCGCACTCTGGGACCCCCAGATGACCTCTCTCCCAGTTCCCAGGAAAAGCAGCAAGCAGCAAGGCACAGAGCCAGGTGCAGGACAGGAGGAGCTCCAGCACCTCAGGCTCACCTCAGCTCCTCACTGAGGCCTGTTATTGCTTATATCTAGATGACCCCTCACAGCCTCATGTGGTCATAGGTGGGGAGGTTTGAAGGTGGCTGGATTAGGGTGTGTGAATATGGATTAAGGGTGTGGACGATGGGAGCCCCACCCTGTATGGGTGGCACCAATCAATAAGCTTGTAGCCTGGGTGGAACACAAAGGAGCAAAAAGAAGGCCAGCTTCTTGTTGCTGCTGCTGCTGTTGCTTGCTGCCTCCTGTCTGCCCTGCCATGGACTTTCTCCTCTGTGGTGCCCTTCTACCATGCTGCTCTGCCTGAGAGCCAGCCAACTATTAAATGAAACCTCTACAAATTCAGGAGCTAAATAAACTTTTCCTTCCTTTTGTGGGTGTCAGGCATTTGTCTCAGCAATAAGAAAAGTAACTAAGACAGACCCCAAAGTGCAACCTCCTCCAAGAGGCCTTCCTGGCCACCCTAGCAGTACAGCATGGCCATCAGCAACACCATGCATGTCAGGCCACGCCCTGGGAACAACCTGGCAGACCTGGCCACAGCCTCTCTACAAGGCTGGGGGTACAGCCTGTGCTTACCATCTTTATGCTTTTCAATAATTAAATCATCAAGAGACCACTCTATGTCCTGTAAAAATCACAGGAAACCAACACTCAGCATCCCTAAATAAGCATGACCATACACGCCTTGCTGGCTCGGGTACATCGTCTGTGCCATCCTTACACTATGGGGGCAAGGCCACAAGCAGCATGGGAACCACATGGTCCTTGAAGCCCTTCACAGAACACATCTGTGACTCTCGCACAGGCCACTGACTAGTTTTTATGCTCCTCAGGGGTACAGAGAAGAGGATAAAGGGCAGAGAGATCTGGGTCAAAGGAACCCAAGAGTCTGAGCAATGGAACCCAATGGGCAGAGCAGCTGGGTTTGGATCCAGGTACACTGGAGGACTTTTGGGAAGAAGCCAGGATGTAGGGGCTTGGTCTATCAGCTGCTATGACAAAATCCCTTTGACTGGGGAATGTGCAAGCAATGGAAAATGCAGCTCAGAGTGCTGGGCCGGAAGGCAACACCATGGTGCCCGAGACAGAGACTGTCTCTACTTCAGATGGAGCTTTTAGCAGCTGAAGGGATGGTGGAAGGGACGGACAAACTGCCGCAAGCCTTGTTCCCTCGGCCCTGATCCCATTCATGAGGACCCTCATCCCCTAATTGGCAGCAAAGGCCTCACCTCTCACACTGCCCCCTGGGGACTAAGTTCAAGTACTTACATGATTTTAAGGGGACACAACACTAGGACCACACAGAGGCAGGCAGAATATCAATACAACAGAGGTGCCCTGGGCAGAGGCAGGCCTGGACTTGCTGCCCCGGTAAGTGCTGTGGCAGCACCCACCCCAGCCTGAGCAAGGCTGCCCCGTGGGAGCCTCCTGTACCCTGGGGTCTGCAGGGACAGCTGGGACTGGACAGGGGAGCTGAGGTCTGAGTGAGCCCACTGCTTGCCCAGAGCATAGGCTCGCCTGTACACGTGACCCAGGGACCCTGGAGCCCACCCAAGGGCCCAGGGCCTGGGTGGAGCTGCCTGGGCCTGGGGTCCTGCAGTAGTTGGGGACACCTTCCTAGCCCCACCCTTTCTTCCAGCCCCAGTAGCCGCTCACCTGCAGCATGAGCTCACACTCATCGCGCCCCACAAAGATGAGCTCACGCGGGAGCCGATGGCGGGTGCCGCTGCTGCTCACCAGGAACCAGGAGGTGACACTCATCTTGGTGCTGGTGAGGCCCGTCTGGCCCTGGAGGGAGGTGGTCATCAGAGCGGGGCTCCCCAGGCTAGACCACCCTAGACCACTCAAGGCCCAGCATAGCTCTGCCCTCTGAGGCTCTGGCCAGGCCCTTCTGGAAATGCCGGCTCCAGTGTACTCAGGGATACATGGTATACCTGTGTCTATACACCAGGCTGCCTGCCTTTCTTGAGCACAGCCCTGGTCTCAGTGCCAGGCCTGGGCATGGCCTGCCTTTCCCATCATGCCCCCTGTGGACCCTCCACCCCACAGTCTTGTCTTCTAGACTCTACTGCACTTGGTTCCTTCTCTCTTTAGGTGCCAGGGTCAAGGTTCATAGGACACTGGCCATGCTGGCTGTGTGTAGACCCATGTGTCCATGTGGCCCACCAGAAGCAGCTCCAGCATGGCCCTTCGGGGTCCCCAGGACACAAACCCTGACCCAGGAGGCCCACTTCCCCCAGTGGGACACTCTGGGACTGAGCCCAGCTAGGGTGCTAGGGTGAGGGGCTGCAGGGACACAGGTGGAGAGGGGGCTCTGAGACATCACTGTGCCTACCACTGGGAGGAGGCTGGACATCCCTTGGTGACCATGTACGGGGACATCAGCAGTTCAGGCATCGGGCAGCCCATGCAGTGCCTGGAAGCGGGACATTGACAAAGAAGGGGTCTGGCGGGCTATTGTGGTAGGATAGGCAGGGAGCACTGTTCCAACAAGGGGGCCAAAGTCACCCTGAGTGACAGCCAGGGCCAAAGTCACCCTGAGACAAGGCCCTGGCAGCTGGAGGCCCTCCATGCAGCTGTGTGCACACCCAGAGCACTTGCACAGCCCGACATTCACTGTGACACACATCCTGCACACTGTGTGCAGGCCTGGCCTGAGCCGAGGTCGCTGTGACCAGGACCCAGAGGCCCTGCACTGGGGGGGTTCCTCAGTCCACGAGCCAGACAGGTTATGCTGGGAGGGGAGCTCATGGGAAGGTGGGTCTCAGGGGTGGCACTACAGCTGCAGGAACCAGACAGTGCAACACAGGCACAGCAGAGGGACCCAGTCTCACATGCTCCCAAGGGTCCTGCAGCAAGGAGGCCTTTGGAGCCAGGACTGCCCCATCAGTGTGGGACCTGGGGAACGGGAGACTGTAGGGCCTGTTCAGAAGCCAGGAAGACTCTCTAGCCTGAGCATGGGGTTTGGGCAGGGGCCATGCTGGCACACAGGTCCCATACCTGTGAGCTGGCCTGGGGCTCCTGGGTCCCTGCAGCAGGGTCCCACTCACAGCACGGAGGACAGCTGGAATGGGCAGGTGAGAGGTGAGGGCAATGACCCAGGACAGAGGTAAGAGTGGCCAAGGCCAGGCGAGCAGAGCAGGAAGGAGGGTAGGGTCATGGCGTGTGATAGCCTGGACTTGGATATGTGGGTCAGAGGGTCAGGAAGGACTAGGACCAGGGCAGGGCTGGATGAAAGGGGCATTTCTGGGCTTGGGACAGTCACACAGGGTCCTACACACAGGGTCACCTCACTCTGCCCTTGGGGGCAGGTCTTGTCCTATCATGTCCATGCTCGGGCCTCAGCTGAGAGCTCTCCACCCAGGGCTCAGCTCCCCTGCAGTGGGCAGAAGGCAGACCAACAGCAGGCCCTGCCTCTCTGTGATACCACCCGACTGAGTGTACAGGTGCCCTGCCCACCTGGCACATTGTAGCTGTAGCTGGGACAAAAAGGTGGGAAGATGTAGGGAAATCCACACCGAGAGGAGGTCCGTCCAAGCCGGAACCCTCACCACAGGCCCCGCCCTTCTGCTGGCCCTGGCCTCTAGAGAGGAGAGGGATCGTTGCTCCTGCAGTCCCCTCAGCCTCACCTCCTGGGAACCCCTAATCCTGCTGAGGAGAGGAAGGCTCTGCAGAGCACCCCCGCCCCCGCCAGGCCTCGCTCTCCAATCTGCCATCACCCCGCCAGCAGGCAGGGGACGCCCCCAGAGGACGCCGCAGCTCCGTTTCACGGCAGAAGAAAGCCAGGCGGCTGTGTCCGGCCAGGCCACCGGAGCAGGCCCGGGCACCGACCACGCTCTCCACAGCCTGCGCCAGTGTGGGCCGGGCCGGCCGGGCCGGCGTTGCTAGGAGGGGTAATAATAAACACCCCAAACCGGTCCCCACTGCCGCCCGGCTGCAGGACCACCGCCCGGGGGTGAAGAGGGAGGTGGGGGGGATGGGAGGGCAGGGCGGCTGGCAGGAGCGGCGGAACCAGGCCAGGGGCGGCGGGAGGAGGCCGGGCCGCGGCGGCGCAGGGAAAAAGGAGGAGAGGAGGAGGACGAGGAGGAGGAGGAGGCCGGGCCGCGGGGAGGGAAGCGCTGCCTGAATCACCGCGGGTGGGGCCGGGCCTGTCCCTGCGCAGGCAGGCCGCATAGACGCGCTCCCGGCCCCTCCCGGCCCGGTGCAGCCATCCCGCCCCTGCGGGGACGGGACGGCCAGGTGCCCCGGCCCCAGCCCGAGCCTTTGTCCCGGCCCTGCGCCCCTGTCGCCCCGGTGCTGCCCCGGGCGCGCAGGTGGCGCCAAGGAGGCCCCGCGCGTCCTACCTGCCGCTCGGCCAGCCGCCGAGTCCCGGTCCCAGCCCGGTCCGGTCCGGCCCAGCCCGCCTGGCGATCCCGCCTGCAGCCCGCCCGCCGGCCGCGCGCGGGGCGGGGCTGCCGCCTAGGACCTGCCCGGCGCGGCCCGCACGCTCGAGGCCAGGCCGAGCCCACGGCCGGCGGCCTCACGCGGGTCCCTGACGTCTGCGGGCGCCCCGCCCATGGCAGCCCGCCCCGGACACGCCCCCAGGCCCGCCCCACGCAGGCCCTCCCCGCCCCGGACACGCCCCGCCCGGCAGCCCCGCCCCGCCAGGTGAGCCGCCCCCCCACGGCGCGCCCGCCCCTCCCCCACCCCCGCCGGGCTGCCCCTGCGACCCGGCGGGTCGGGCGGAAGCGGACGCCTCGCCCGCGGGTTAACGCAAAGCCTCGCTCGGGGAGCCCCAGCTCCAGCTGCACTCCGGTCCCAACCTTTGCCGGGCGGCGGGCGAGGCCAGGGCGCCACCTGCCGGCCGGGGCGCGCAAGACACCCGCGACCCCTCGGGCGGGGCTGGCGTGAGCCTCCTACCTGGGCGCCCCGCGTCCCTGGCCTGCCGAGGGCCACGCGGCCGGGGTTCCATGGCCAGGCTGCCGGGTCCTCGCCAGGTGCGGCGCCGGATCCGAAGTGGGCCGGGGCGGGGCGGAGCGGGGCGGGGCGGAGCGGGGCGGGGCGCCCCCCCCCCCCGCTTCCTGCTTTCCAGGTGGCTGCGGCCCGGAGCGCAATGCGGGGCGCCAGGGCCGGCCAGAATCCGCCCGGGTGGCTTCAGAGCCCACGGCCCAGACCCTGGCCCCAGGGCAGCCTCTGCTGCACCGAGAGCCGGGGCGGCACCCTGGCCAGGCACCAGAGGGCAGGGGGAGCCCCTAGGGCGCCTGGGCAGGGGCGGCCCCGAAGCCTGGAATCAGCGATTGGGCCCCTTCTCAAGGACAACATGGCGCCAGAGGGTTAACTCCCGCCAGACCCACTCCTGTAGAGGCTTTACTCGCTGTGTCGCCGTGGGTAGACGGAAGGGTTTGAAGGGGTTAGCCTGGCGTCCAGCCGAGACCTTGGGCCAGAGAAGGGGGTCAAGGGCAGATGTAGCAGAAGCAGGAGAAGGGGCTGGTTACTGGGACCCCCTCCTTGCTGCATTGATTGCCCACCCCGCCCCCACCGGCCTCCAGGAGAGCTTGGAATTTCCGGGACTCGGCCGTGCAAGGGTCTACTCTTCCTGAAGACCCTCACCTGCCCACCTACCCGCTCTTACCTGCTCATCCGGCCCTGGGCTCCTCCAGCCCCTTCCCCAGGGCTTGCCCACCCTCTTGACTTTGTCTACCCCTTGCCCTAGCCTTGGAAATGACCTTTTTAGACCATTTTTTCCGTGTACCTTTCTTCTGCCAGGACCCTGACTTCCTTCAAGGAGAGGGGAGGCAGGGATGGTGCCCAGGTTCTGCCTGGGCACCCAGCCAGCTGTGCCCTCTCGCTGGCCTCGGAACTCGCTCTAAGAGAGCAGCTGTAGGCATCAGCAGTGGAGTGTTAGTTCTCACGGAGCAGGGAGCACAGGAAGGGACAGAGGCCACCTTGGTCCAAGCTAGGAGACCCCAGGAAACTGGGAAAGGAAAGCCAAGGAGGGATGTGGCACCAGGTCCCCCGATTGCTCGTCGGTGGAATGCAACTCCAGGAAAGTGCTTCAGGACGGTTTTGGAAATGCTTGAGGAATTCTCAGCGGCACTCATCACCAGAGAGTTGTCAATCAAATCCACAGTGAGACACTACCCCACACCCCTGCCGCTGCCCAAACACAGTGAGTGAAGCAGGAACATGGAAGTACACAAACATTCCTCTGTGTGCACTGTGGGAATATCAGGTCTTTCAGTCACTATGCAAAGCAGCACGGCAGTTTCTCAAAAAATTACCATATGATCCAACAACCCTACTTCTGGAAATATACCCAAAGGAACTGAAAGTAGGGATGGAAACATTTGTGCACCCACGTTCATTACTGCACTACTCACAATAGCCAAAAGGTGGCAGCAACCACAGAGTCCTCCGATGAATGGATAAGCGGGTGTGTGTGTGTGTGTGTGTGTGTGTGTGTGTGTGTGTGCGCGCGCGCGCACTGTTATTAAATCTTCAGATGGATAGAAATTCTGACTGTGCTGCAGCATGGATGCATCTTGACAAAGACACTATGTGGCATGAGATAAACCAGTCACACAAGGCCAACTGCTGCACAACACTTGTAAAAGGCCCTCGCTAGACAGGAGCTAGAAGGGGCTGGAACAGGACGCGGAGTCAGGGCTCTCTGGGGACAGAGTCTCAGCCTGGGAAGATGACAGAGATCCGGAGGTGCTGCGATGGGGCACAAATAGTGCTTATTGCCCCGACCTGGTCGTTTCAGATGATTAGGTAGTAAATTGTTACAGATCTCTCGCTGCAATAAGAAGTGAACTCTGAAAAGGGAAAGAAGAAAAGAAGACTCCAGTGCTGCCAGGGAGCTGAACTTGGCACACGACCCAGCAGAACATTTTGTTTCGGCGTTCTTGGGGCACGGGAGGTGGAGGTCGGTGTGTCTGCTTCGTGGGTGATTATGCGGATGTTTAAAATTGAGGAGAAGCTGGCATCGCCAAATCAAAGGTGCTGGAGAAACTGGTCAGCTGCCTACAGAAAAACCTGCTATTGTCCCTGTATCCAGTCCTTGCTGGGGAATGAATTCTATATGGCCAGCAAAATAACTGCAAAAAGGCCCCAACCATGAGACCATTTGATACTCTCAGGATGAAGAAGGTTTTCGTAAGCATTACCAAAGTGGAAGCAATAAAAAACATTTTTGAAAAGTGTGAGTTATAAATGGGAACACTCACGTGGACAACATCTTTGAAACCAAGGATGAGCAACAGCCCGAGGACACAGATCATAACTCACACACCCAACCACGGGCCGATTCAGCTAATGGAGTTAGAAGACCAGTAAGTTCCTAGGACAGTGATGGCGAAGCTTTTAGAGTTTTCAAGGGAAGTAGTCGGCTGTGGCACGAGTGATGTAGGTTTGCCACCACTGTCCTAGGTGAATGAATGGCCAGGCCCCAGGCAGCCTTCACATTAGGAGCCCCAGTAGCTATTGATTGGAAGGTGCTTAACTTTCCACAACTCAGAAAAATGCAGCCTGGTCGCACGAGGAGAGGTGTTGCCACTGCCAGGCTTAAGGAGCAGGGGGAGGCACTTCAGCTAGTCTCAGGAGTTGGGGGCACAGGTAGAGGGGGAACTTTGTGTTCCACCCTTCCCCCTTTGGGCTGCTAGAATTCTTTTCAATGAGGAGCTGCAGTAAAGAATTTGCCTTTTTTATTTTGGGTACTGGGGATTGAACCCACGACCTTTGCACTGAGCTATACCCCCCAACCCCACCACCACCCTTATTTGAGACAGGGTCTTGCTAAATTGGCCAGATTGGGCTGGAATCTTCGATCCTCCCGCCTCAGCCTCAGAGTGCTGCTTTTGTTGTTGATATTGTTTGTTTAATTGGTTATTTATTTATTTAGAGATGGGGTCGAATTCACTATGTTGTCTAGCCTCTTTTATTATATTCTTTTTTTTTGGAACCAGGAATCAAACTTAGGACCTGCGCTTGCCAGGCAGGCGCAGTGCCACTGAGCCTTTTGCCCCCGGCCCTTTTGCTGTATTTTTAGGGGAGAAAGTCAGGAGGCTGGTGGTTCTGCAGTGAATGTGGCAGAGTTGAGTGAGTGTCCAGTATGCTAGGTGAGCTTAGGGCCAAGGCTGGTTGGGGCCTGAGTTGGTGGCTGGGACAGAGACACAGCATGCAGGTGTCTCCTTGGGGTGGAGGGAGGACCTAGGGCATGCATAGAGGAGAGGAAGGTGGGGGACAGTGGGGGTCGGAGGCCCCCTCCCCTGCACAGGGCCTCCAGGCCTTGCACCCTGCAGTCCTTCTGCAGTGCTGAATGGACAGCCTAGCTGGGAGCTGGGGCTGCAAACCACCCTGCACCAGCCTGGGGATGGCAGCTCAGGCCCTCCTCACTTCCCAACCTCTGCTTTCCAGGCCCTGTACTGAGGTCTCTGGTCAGACTGGTTCTTGACTTCCAGGAGCAGGGATCGTGGAACTCCTAGGGGCCCTTTGTTTAGATTTTTGCGTGTAGTCCCTGGTTTCTGGAGCACTTGTAGCTTCAAGGCACAGCTGGGCCATGTGATGTGCACCTATAATCCCAGCACTCTGAGAGGCTGAGGCAGGGGGATCGAAAGTGTAAGCCCAGCTGGGGTAATTTAGTAACTTAGTAAGACCCAGTCTCAAAATAAAAAATAAGAAAAAGGCTGGGAATGTAGCTCAGTACAAAGGCCCCAGGTTCAAACCCCAGTACCACACACACAAAGCTTCCAGCCACCGGCAGGGCCCTAAGAACTGGTGCATTTTCTGCCAGTTGAGAAAGAATCTCTCAAGAACGAAAGACACAGCACTGTCCGCTACAGGACATGCAGGTTCCACGAGTCAGGGCTGACACCAGCTTTTCCAGTTCTGTCCCAGTCTTGTCCACCTCTGCCACGGACCAGAAGCCGCAGGTCAGCTGCAGGAGGGAGTGGGGCTTTCCAGGTCTGCTGTGTCTGCCTGTGCAGGCCTGTCTAGCCCAGGAGCAGGCAGGGCCTTCTGCAGGCTACACTGCGTGGCTGCTGCCGGCCGAGTCCCCGTGGCCAGGCTGTGTGCTGCTGCTAGCGCGGGTGCCAGGGGAAGGAGGATGGCCCCTGCAGGGCCCCCTGAGGTTCCCTTGCTGCTTCCCTTCTGAGACCCAGACCTGTGGACTCAGCCCCAAGCCCAGATGATCTGCCAAGGGCAGGATGGCCGAACGCGCCGTGTTCCTGCTCTTCACCAGAGACCACGCATGGTGGAGAGGGGCCCGGCGCCCTCTGCACCCTGGCCCGTGACCCCCAAGGGAGCAGCATGGAGCCTGGGGAAGGAGCGGAGGGGCTGTGCCTGCCCACGGCCACCCATCAGCCTGCACCATCCCATGTTACCTGACAGGGCTCCAAAGAGCAGGGAGAGCAGGGCCATCCTGTCCCCAGCAGCTGCCCCACCCCGCCTGTACTCCCCCTCCCTATACTCATCCACCCTTCCCTCCACCCCTCCCTGCATGGAGACCCAGGAATGCAGGGTCCAGGAGGCCTGTCCTGGCCCTTGGCGGAGATCCTGAATCTCCGTGACCCTGCCGGAGCACCAAACGGATGTGGCGCCATCTTTGCTCAAGGCTGAGGGTTGCCCCATCCTCCACCACACACACCCACAAGTGCAGTTCCCTGGGTGCAGGAGGCACGGGGGTGGGGGGGAGCCACCTCCAAGCCTCCGTGGGTCTGTTCTCAGGGATTCGTCAGCCAGAGAGCAAGAAGTGGCTCACCTCTGCAGACCTCATGTCTGGTCTGCCTGCACCAGCAATGGCGGCCGCCTGCCTCAGGGCCCTTCACTCCTGCTCCCACTGACCCAGCGGGGTCTTCCAGCGGAGCTGTCCCCTCTGGACAGCTGGGTGTGTGCACATGACTAGTTCCAGG